TTAATTTGCATAAGTGGTCGAACCAATTAAAGGTATATAATTAGATCAATTAATGTAATAACTTCAACATATAATTAATTAAGGGAAGGATTAGAATAAGTAAATCTAAATTCTAAAATAAACTTGGAAGAAGAGATCTATAAAACAAATATTTAAGCCTTGTGTGTGTGTGTGTGTGTGAATGAGTGAGTGAGTGAGTGAAAAAATATCCTTCTAATCCTCCTATCTAAGAAAACACCAACAATTAAATAGAATTTCCAATGCCATCGACATCAACAACATGACCCTTCTCATAATAGAATTTCCTAATTATTTGAAAATGAATGTTTTTGAAAAGACATGGAGAATATATAAAGATAATAACTCTCCAAAATAAGAATCCAGAAAGCATACAGTTCTTGCACCACAATTATTTCATTTTAAAGTGTGAAGGAAGTAAACAGAAATTAGCTAGCAAACATAATGTAAACATTACTGAACATATATCAATTTTATATATCATTAAAATTAAATTAAATAAAAAATGAGATACTATAAATCAAGAAAAATTAGTAACTTACAACTAAATGGTGGTTAATTACCCCACACTGTGGGTTTTGAGCTTCCATAATCGAAACCAATTTCTTCCAAAGGGGATAAATGAAATTCATGTTGAAGGACTGAAACAGAGATAATTCAAAAAATAAAGAAAAAATAAAAATAGAATCGAAAGAAGTTGTTCCATAATTATACTTTGTAAATAGTGATTCCACCAGTCTGAACAGTTTGAACATATACCTTAAGCCTTCTAGATTTTCCTCAGAAAGTTACTTGGCAGCCATTGGGGCTAATACTGCTAATCACAAAGCAACAAAGTATAGATTACATGATTTTCTGGTTTTCTGTTTGTTTTGGTAGATACCTCAACAAGGCTCAATCACAAGAGAACTGAGTAAGGAAGGTAGAAGAATTATACTGATAAATAAACAAGAAGGTAACATGAAAAGTACAGTCTGCCATCAAGAGACATATAGGAGAGTGGGAGAGATTCAATGTTGTAAATATACCAATGCATATCAACAAAAAACCTCCAATTAATGTTCTTTAGAAAAATATACTTTTACTATCTTTGATGTCCAATATCTTACTCAATGCTTCTCTCCGCTTTTCATCAAAATCCTCTGCTTTAACCTCAGCTGCTCAACTTCTCCTACACAACTGATTCAGCTCGAGTAAAAAAAATTAGTAACATCTTTTTCACAGATTTAAATCCATAAGCCAAAAAAACAAAAGTGATTTTATTGACTTATACTTTCTAAATTGGATATCAAGTGCTGATAAAAATTGAAGTGCATAAGTCAGAAAAGAGAAAAGAAAAAATAAAATAAAAATAAAAGATGCTTCTTATGATGTGTTTTCTCTCCTATCTTTCAGAGTTTTGTCATATCAGATTGGCAGGGTATTGACCGTATTACCTCTCCTCCTCATGCTAACTATTCATACTCTGTTCAAGCTGGTGTCAGTGCTGGAATTGATATGGTAAATATTGTTGTCATTTTGAAGGAGTAAAATAATAAGAAAGAGATATAAAATGTTTCTTGAATCTGGGAATATAATATTATGAATTTACATTTTATTTTAACATTTGCATTATTTACAAATTATGGTTCCCTATAACTTCACGGAGTTCATTGATGACCTAACCTATCAAGTGAAGAACAACATTATCCCAATGAGCAGGATTGATGATGCAGTGGCACGAATCTTAAGAGTAAAAGTTACCATGGGTCTATTTGAAAATCCAATTGCTGATTTAAGCCTGTGAACCAACTGGGTTGCAAGGTACATTTTCTTAGGGATGTCATGTGAACATATGAAGTGAGGATGATAAAAAACGATAACCGTTAGGAATCAGATCTACAATTTAAATAAACAAAGAAAAAAAAACATAACGCTCTCATTAAAATGAAATAAATTAAATTATTTTGCTTTGTTATTGAAGGTGAATAGAGATCAAAGGTAAGAGGTTGACTTACCATGTAATCAATGGAAATGAAAGGATCGTTAACAGCAACAAGTTGAAAGTTGAACATCGTCTCTTTGCAGAGCAACCCTGGCCACCAAACGATCGATTCTTCCAAATCCTGTTACATAAAAAACAAAAATAAATAAAATAGTAAAAAAAAAAAATATGAGCCGATCTGAAGCAAGAGAAGCGAGATCGAACGAAGGAGATAAGTTACCATTGATTCCGATCTTGACCTTGCCTGATCCACATCATTCAACTAAAAACAAAAATAAATCAAGCAAAAACCCTAAGAGATTTATCTCAAAAAAGAAGAAGTTGAGAGAGAGAATGTGCAAAAATCGAAAATTGTATCTTCGTTCTCTCTGCCAATGGATACAAGAACCTTATTGAGCTTTACATCGGAGCCACTTGAGCTTCGGTATCCACGTCCTCGCCGGCGGGTTGTCCTCCTTCTCGTGGTGTTTGGTGTCGGTGCTAGACATACGAGAGAAAAAGAAAAATGAGTGACTGCAAAATTTGAGAGATACATAGATTGGGTCGGGCCTTCTATTACTATGAAATTATGAAATATTGAAAGAGATGGGTTGGGCCTTATTTTGCGACATTTTTGTTAGTATGTAGTAAAATTGGATATTTTATAAAATTATGCCACATTTAATTGAATGTGGTTAAAAACTTGTGGTTAAACAGCGCTTTTCTTGTAGTGTAGTTTAGGTTGCCTTTTTTCTAGTGGGGTTTCATTTTACATGATGGATTTGAGGGTCGTGGACATTCCTGAGATACTTGTGAGGAGCATTATGAAATCTTTAATATTGAAAGTAAGAAAACTTCTATAGAGTTAGTTCGAGGTTGTATGTATAAGACATTATGGAATCAATGCACCATAAAATAAAAAAAAGAAGGAAAAGGATGAGGGAGAACTAGAGAAAAATATTACGTTGCAGCTTTGGAGGAGTAACTTTTTACAATTTATTATTAGATTGACATAACATGCTCATTCTTAATTTAAACTAATCATGTGTGCATGGTTGCCCAGTGACGGAGGATTGACAAAAGCTGGGGAGGGGAACATAAAAAAGAGAATGATTAAGAAGAAAAATAATGGAGGGAGTTAATTAAGGTGAAAGGAACATGCGAAGAATTGGAAAAATGGGTCAACTGGAATTCATAATTAAGTGTGATTCATTTGGAGAAATAACCATAATCGCATTTTTAGAGTGAAGCAATTAATTTTTTTTTATTTAAGAATTAATTGCTATCAATATTTAAGAGTGGCACGCAGGAAATTGTTTTCATTTAAGTAAATATTTATTACTGTCAGTAATAAGAGTTATTTGCAATTAATATTTACGAGTAACTGGAATTCGAAGCCTGTTTTTGATATAATACAGATGGTACATTGATCAATTTAATACGGTTTTAATTTTTTTTTCAAAATAATATAGTTTGAAAATTATTTATCAAAGGGATATAGTTTGAACACTTTTGATCATGCAGTCCCTACAAAGGTGATACATATATTAGAAGTCATTAGAACATGATGACCCCTGTCACATTTTTGGGATCTGCGCCGTAAAAAAGTGATAAAAAATTATCAAATTGTATCATTTTGGTAAATATCATTTAAACTATATTATTTTAATAATTTATTTAAAAAATGATATTACTTTGGTCAATCACCCCTAATTAGGATACATATGGGATACATATGGGAAAATAAAAGCAAGAAACAATAGCTTAGTCAAGCATAACCATGGGAGCCCCATCCTAATATCATCAACCAGGTGTTCGCACTCTGCTATGGGAGTGTTCAAAATCTAGGCATCCCAACCAAAGAGATATGCAATTAAAGCCATTTGATCTGCCACACTATTTGTCTCTATATAATCATGAGACATCTGAACTTTCCAGTTTCTACGATACATTTATTGGATGTGGTGAACCATATTGGACATTGGACGCCACCACGCCAACGATGATCTTATTTCTAGATCCCGATGATTAGGGTAATTGATTGCCAATAATGATACCTCCCTGTAGTGGCGAACCTATTCATGGGCACATGACCGCAAGTGCAGACATGAAATTTTGAATTTTATTTATTTTTAGTTACTAAGCAATGAAAGGGAGGAAAAGGGCTTTTGGCAGCAAAAACCACTACGGCGAACAAGGACAAAGATAAGGATAAGAAAAGACCCATTTCATGGTCATCCCATGCCGGAATTCAAGTAACTATTTTCTTTCCCCTTCTATTTCCGCTGTATGTTACCAACTCGTTTTCTTTGTGTAGTTTTCCATTCTCGACGTTCCTTCTTATTCATTTGGGGTAGGAGAAAATGGGGTGAGGCGATATGAAATTTAAGATTAATTGTTGATACCCAAATGCAATTGAACTACGAAGTCAGAACCTTTAATTTAAGATTCGGATCTGATGGTATCCTGACCGGAGGTCGATCTTCGAAAGCACCTTCGCACCCCTTAGTTGATCAATTAAGTCCTCGATACGGGGCAAGGGGTACCTGTTATTGACAGTCACTTTGTTGAGTTGCCGATAGTCCGTGCAAAGTCTCATTGACCCGTCCTTCTTCTTTACAAAGAGAACTGGTGCTCCCCACGGGGACACACTGGGTCGGATGAAATTCTTCCCTAGCAAGTCTTCTAGCTGCTTCTTCAATTCTACTAGTTTAAGGGGAGACATGCGGTAGGGTGCAATTGAGATTGGCCCAGTCCCGGGAATAAGTTCAATAGAGAACTCTACTTCCCTTTCAGGGGGAAAGGTGGTAATGTCGTCAGGAAATACATCCTCGAATTCTTTGACCACGGGAATGTTCATCAGCGGCATCTCGCTTGCACCTACCAGGCCAGCTATTAGCATGGAAGTACAATCTCTTGATTCGACCGGTGAAGTACTGGGGAGTGGGGTCTCCATCCTTTCCCCGCCGACTATTATACTTCAGCTGCTACAATCAATTACTACGCGCTGTTTGGCCAGCTAGTCCATTCCCAATATTAGGTTTAGTTTGGCTAAGGGGAGAATTATGAAGTCTTGGTTGTACTTCTTTCCTTTGTATCTGAATTCTACATTTCTACCTATGAAGTGAGACGTTGTCACTTCCCCCGTCGCAGAGGTGACTTGCATTGGGGACTGCATTGGGCTCATAGTTAAGTTAAATGCATTTGCCACATAGTTGGCCATGAAGGAATTGGTTGCACCAGAGTCAAATAAAACAGATAGTTCTTCACCACATATATTGATCGTACCTTTAACTAGTTCGGCCGCCTGGTCCGCCACATGTTGATCCAGCGTGTATACTCTGCCCATTCTTGGTGCCTCAGCTGCTGGCTGTTGCTCCCTCCATTGTGGACAATCTTTGATGAAGTGTCCATCTTGGCCGCACTTGTAGCATTTCGTCGATCCGCTCAAACAATTTCCGAAATGTGCCTTCCTACATTTGGGGCAATTGGGAGCCCTGCTGCTGTTTCCTCGGGGATACCCGGGCCTCTTAAACTTGTGGTCATCACGCCTGGGCTGCCATGGTCTGCCTCCGCTCTTTCCTCTCCATGGTCTATTCCTAGTCATCGGAGCTCTGTGTCCGGATCCGCTGGTCTCTGCGGGCTTCCTTGTTTGCAAACCTACCGCCTCTACCTTTCTACATCTGTTTACTAGGGTGGCTAGGTCACAGGTGTCGTTGCCAGCTACCAATTCCGCAATCCTAGCGGACAGACCCCTTTGGAATTTTGCCATCAGAAAATCCGGCATGGGCATGGTTCCTCGGTAAGTCGCCAATCGGAGTAGTTCGTTGAATTTAGCGTGGTATTGGTCCACCGTCATGGTCCCTTGTACGAGTCGGTCGAATTCGCCTTGCTTGCTGTCCCGGATTGACATCGGGAAATACTTCTCCAGAAACATTTCTTCAAATACGGCCCAAGTAATCGCCGCATTTTGCATCTCCAAAGGTTGAGACGCATTAGCCCACCAATGATGGGCGTCTCCTTCTAACATGTACACTGAAAATAGCACCTTTTGATCTTCGGTACATTGGATCACTCTGAATATTTTGTCCATGGCCTGCAGCCACTGTACAGCCACGATCGGATCGTGTCCTCCTTGAAATGAGAGTGGTTTGTGTTTCCTAAATGTCAGCAGTAGATCTTGATTATTCTGGTTTGCCGCTCCATGGTCCGGGGGAGGGTGGGGACCACCACCACCGGCTCCTCCGGTGCCTGAGCCGCTCGCGGTGTTGTTATGGGTTGTGTTGTGAGGGTTGCGTCTTATTTCGTTCAGAATATTCTGAAACATCTCCCCCGCGTTTGTCTGCATCTGTGTGATGGTATCCCTTAAGGTATTGATTTGGCCTTGCATGTCCTCGGAACCTTGAGGATTGTTGCGGGTAGGTGGTCTACGCGGTGATATATTGCTGCACATATGTTACAGGGTATAACAAAGGGAGTTAGAGAATAGTTTTTATTCCAAAGTTCAGAAAATGCTCTGATACCATTAAATGTAACACCCCGAATTACACACCTGAGGTGTTAACATTGCTTAACTTCGTACTTAGCGTGGAAGGCTTACCCTAAGCGTGGTTTACTTTTATTGTTATAGGGGATTAATTTAGTTCAGAATTTCAACTAAGTTAAAAATCGTACTTATCCATCTAATCATGTGTTCTTAGCGTCTACATTTTCCTCACAATACCTAGGGTGCATTATGTCACGCGTCGTATCCCTATTAATTTCTAAGTCCTCTAATAATTTAACTTCTATAGCTTTATTATTAGGTCCCCCTATTATTCTAAAATTCCAACCACGAATGCAATGACCTTTAAGTTCTTTATGAAAAAATTTCCTCAAGTTAAATCTTTCTTAAGGGTCCATCTAATAAGTCATAAGTTCAAGGATGAAGTCCTAGTCTTAATCATATCTCCTAATCCATTTTGTGACATTAAAACATAGTCAATTAACCTTAAATAACAATACATAGCAGAAACATATAGGTCTTCCGACTTGATTGCATAATCCAGAAACATAAAGTCTCTTAAATCCACATTACCCAAATATAATACTTTAAACGCATAGCAATGTCTAAAGTAACGTAAGTAGCATAATCTATTACAGTCATCCAACTATAATTAAAAGGCATCATTCAACCCATAAGGATTCACTGTAGTCATAGTCTCCGAAGACTTCCACCAACACCAGCATCATAGCCTGCTCATACAGTCCTTCATTACAAAGTTCAGTAATTTTATCCACAAGTAACTGCATGGTATCATCTTCAAGACGTACCAGTCTCTTTCCTTTCCTTACCCACTTGGTCATTTTTACCTGAAAGGGAGATCCCCAAAGAGGGGTGAGATTGAGGGTCTCAGTAAGGACTCATAGTTGGAGCAACCTCCAAACCATGATGCTTTCTCCTACAACAGTCACATAATAGCATATACAATAATAGAATGGAAAACATTTGAAACATAGTTTGGAAGATAAGTCATGCTTTCAAAAACATCATACCAATCCTGTCATGGCAATTACTCTCCATGGTCTTACAGACGAATACCCAGGGTCCTCGTCAGGTTGCCTTTGTGGTATTAGTGCACAGGCCATCATAACACATCTTGCATGAACAAAACATTAGTTCCAAACACATCACTGTATAGCACCATATAACAGATTGCAGTCTAACCAACACTTTACATAAAAGGGTGGCAACCATAGGGAAACTACTTCTACAACCATAAATCACTTACACTATTGTCTTGTCTTTTTACTTCACTAGAGTTCAAGTTCGGCCACGTAGGTATTTCCAATGCTCTGGTCTTCCTTTGCACCCTTGGTTCGGCCTAATCAAATAATAAGACTTAATAGGTGATTCTAAAACTCACTTGGTCCATACATCACATTTAGGTTCAGCCCTTTAGGATATTAGGACTTAGAAGATGATTCTAACAACATGGATCATGCATAACACTCTAACAATTCGATTAACATGTAAGCCCCACTTAACAAGGTTTTCCTTTCTTTTTAGTTTTCAAGAATTCGAATGAGGGAAGAAGATTTTGTATTCCTTTAAGCCCTTATAAAACTGAAAAGAAAATAAGAGGGATGGAGATCCATATCTTGAACATAGAGTCTAAGGGACCTTACCTCGAAGGATGATGTTCAATGGAGTGATTCTTCCACCAGTATGTCACTCTTGATCTTCTAAGTGTCCACCTTCCATGTGTTCCTCTATAGACGATGAAGGAGGCTTAAAGGTATTTTTGATGTTCCTATGCCCTAGATATGTTAATGGCTGAAGTCTTAGGTGGGAGGAGAGGTTTGTTTCTTTTTGGGTTATTGTTCTTTGAGAAGGCCAAAGCCTTGGTGAGGAAAGAGGGTGCCCTTTTTCTTTGGTTTCTTGTTGAAGTTGGAGTGAGTGAGGGAGTGTGACCTTTGCCTTGGGTGTGTACGGTTGGGATGGGGGAAGGGCCTTTGGTCATCTATTTTATTCAAGTCCCCTTAATCATCATGCCTAGATGAGGAGGGGTTAGATCCTAGGTTGAGTGTGGGCTAGGCAAATCTTCTCACCTTGTTCAAGGTTGTCTTGCGCATGGGGATGAGAAACTCTTGCATGTCATGTCTAGGTTAGAGAGAAACAAGATTCATCATTAACCACTTGGGGAGGGATGCGCATGGGGAGAAGAGACTCTTGCATGTCATGCCTTGGTTAGGGAGAAACAAGGTTCAGCATTAATTACTTGGGGAGTGATGTGCATGGGGAGAAGAGACTCTTGCATGTAACAAGGTTCAATGTTTTAATCATTAATAGGGAAATATTGGTTAGTGTGTAAGGAAAGCCATATTCCTTTTATGATGATCATTGCGCCTAGGGGAAAGGAGAAAAGTTGCTCCACTTTTTAATGGATCAAGCCTTGGTTCCTGATCCTTTAATGCGTCACCTTGGGAGAAGGAAAGGCAATTCATGTCTTCTTGCTTCTATTATGGCCGACGGCTAGCATTGGAAATGGCCAAGTTTCATTCAACTTTCTTTCCTTATTGGTTGCATGTAGTGGCAACCACTCATCACATGCCACATCATTCATCATATGATCATGGACTTGGGCTTGTTGCACCACTAAAGGGCCCACGATGTTGGCTTCAAAAATATTGGGAATGCTTTGCACTTTGGGCCAAGGCTACACTAGGTAATGGGTTCGGCCCAATTTGCCCTTTTGGGGTTAGCTTTCCATTGAAATTAGAGAATGGGCCAAGCCTTATTCCTTTGCATGATGGGTTCGGCCCAAGGAGTCTCTTTGGGTTGGGATCACCCTAGGTTGGGCTACTTATGTTTAAATTTAATGTGGGCTTAGTCTAAGATCATACAACTTCAAGAGTTATGAGTTTGGGCCATTAAGGCCATTAGTTGGTGTGGGTTCAACCCATTAAGTTTTGGGCTTTTAGATTATTTAATCATGTTTAACTTGGGCTATTCACATATAACTATCATTAATTCATTTGGTCCACACAAGACTCATTAATAAATGTGGCTACATAATTTAGGGTTATTACACTAAGACTTAAGCTTTAACCATAAAACTCATGATCAAAGGTTCAAAAACATACCCAAGACTTCACAACTCAGAAAAGGGTGCTCTTGGATCTTAAACTTCAGCTCCTAGGGTACTGACTTGGCAAAGAACGAAAATACCAACAAGATGGGTTCTTTCCCTACAAAGGTAGCTTCTTAGAAGCTCCACAAACTAAGAACAAAGACTCCACAACACCCAAACCAACAAGTTAGCCCTCAAACTCTTCCAAACAGAACCCTCAACTCAGCAAAAGTTGAACTTCACCCTCACAAGGCACTCACTTAAGTGTTTACAAGGTGAAAGAGGAAGAATCAAAGAGAAATGGTGACTTATGGAGGAATCTTCTTGAAGGAACAAGGTGGCAAGAATGAAGACACCAGCAGCAACCAAAAACTCACGCATAAAGGCTGGAGGATCAGCCTAGGGTTGTGTGAAGGGGTCTATTTATAGGCCACTTAAACTTAATCACACAGTATAAGCATTAATAGCTACGCTTAGCATTTTAATCCTAAACTTAGGATTCTGAACCTACTCATTTTTCTAATATTTATCATATTTTTATTTTATTTTTCGTAGCACCTTTTCGGTACGCACTTTTCCATAGCCAGTATCAGATTCTGGCACCAGTTCTCATTATTTTAACTTGAAACTTGTTTTACAAGTCTTATATATTATTCTAGTGACATATACACACTTTTTATAATTTTCCAGGATACTTCATCGGTACGCATTTATACCGAGTAGCAGAACCGATATCTGCACTTTTTGTCAGAAAAGCGACTTTCAGCCTTATTAATCACTTACCATAATTATTTAAGCCTCATAATAATTATTAGGGTCAATTATAGAATTATTTCCTAATTTCACATAGTTAATTAATTAACTTCCTTAATTAACAGTGCGAGTTCTTACAACGAGGAGCTTGATACCCTTCTTAAAGGGACCATTGCTGTGGTGGTGTCATCCCTCACATTCAAGAGTCCCTCATCAACAAAACTTCCAAAGAATAGAATATTTGCTTCTGATTGATTTCATATGGCTGTTAATGGAATACTATTTTGTTGCGTTTTATGACTTGATTGCAGTAGGGTAGCATGAATTCTTCAACTGTCTATTTGGAACTGAGATGTATGTTAGGTATGTAGATGGTCATTTTTTATGTGGTCTTTTTACTCGTTTAATTGGCTTGTCTTAAAGTTTTAATGGAGTTGGATTGCTAGACAATGCTTTCTTTTAGTGTCTGATATGTTGCCTTTATTGGTTTGTTTCTCCTTTGATATTTGGTTGTTTTATTTCTTTGGAATGGTTTGGTTATCCGTTGAGTACTGTATAGAAAACTTGGCTATGATGAAGATGAAGATGAAAACTTGGCTATGATGAAGATCATGCATTTAAAAAAAATTGAAATTTTTTCCGAGGGCAGCCCCCGTCACTAAATGTGCGGACCTAAATCAAATATCCTGGGTCCGCCATTGCTTCCATGCACATTGTTTTTTGCTTAACGGTTATTGTGCTTTAACAGCACTATCCACGTTTGTGTTATGCACTATTGGATGTGTATTTGCAGCCATTTTCTGCGGTGGTTGTGGAGCTTTCAGTCTTCGACCTTTCTTAGAACGCTGGACAATCATCCAGCTACCAAAATCCCCTTCATCCGTATTGAAGAGAGCTTAACCAGATGCTCCATGAGCTTTTAGGTTGCGAATCAGAAGGCTTTTCAGCAATTTTCATTGAATTAGGCACTATCACGGGGCACTGGTCTTTTCTATGCCCATATCCACCACAAGAGCAGCAGATT